CTGTGCTTCGCCCTCAGGGTGTCCATGGATACCCAGACCCCGAACGTGATCTACGAGGGCATGGAGACTTGGACCTCGTTGGGTACGGCGATAAGCCAGCAATACACGGGCATCGGGTCGCCCCTGAAGGGGAAGACGTCCGCTGAGATTCTGAGGGGCTACTTCGACCCCCAGGAGGCGGAGGACAACAGCTGGAATCTCACGTGCATCCTGGACACGAAGGCCGAGAAGTCCGTGGTCAAGGTGGAGGCAGGGGACCTCACGGTGGAGAACCCTTTCGACTGGACGACCGACCTCCTGCTGGCCACAGGCACACGCACGCACAGGATCCAGTCCGTCCACGAGGAGTTCGCAGCCCTGAACGTGCCGATGCCCACGGCGACCTCTGTCAAGTGGCAGGGCGACCTCTTCAAGACGCTCAAACAGGTGGCGACCCCCAAGGACAAGGGCATTTCCGCGGCAAGCAGCGCGAGCGGCGTCAAGCGGCCCTCGCCTTCGCCCCCTTCGGGCGCCGGCGTGGCGGAGGCGCTGCGCAGGCGCCTCAACGCCAAGAGCACCGGCGCCAAGGGCAACTGAGCGGCGAGGCTCACTGGGCACCAGCGGCGACAAGCCTGAGCAGTGCCAGACTAGATTTTTAGTGCGCGACAGAACGCGCATATTGACCCGACGCACGGACTGCGGCAAGAAGCCTGCATTGTTTGCAGCGGCCACAGCCTGAATACACTGCTCGCGCGCCGTCGCGCCGCTGACGCAATGGATCGCACTCTGCCGGGAGCGGCGGAAAAAAAGCGTCGTCGCGGGGCGCCTCCCTCCCGTACTCCTCCTGCTCCTTTTCCTTTTCCTGTCCTCTTCCATCCTTCTCCTCCTATCTATTGCGCAAGCGCAATCCCGCCACCGTGCCTTGGTTTTGGGCCTGTGGCCTCTTGTACGTATGTAGGGGTCTCGCGGTATAGGATCCTTGGTGCCTGGGTTTGCGGGTTAGAAGCTACATGCCTCAAGTGGTACTTGGGGCCTCTTTTGGGCCTCTTGGGGGCCTCCTGGGGCCTCTTGGCGGCTCCTTGGGGGCTTCTTGGGGGCCTCTTGGGGCCTCTTGGGCGCCTCTTGGGGCCTTCTGGGGCCGTCTTGGGGTGGAAGGCTCGGATTGTCGGTTGGGGCTCCCCCTCTTGGGCCTCTCTTGGGGCCGTCTTGGGGCCCTCTTGGGCTGTCTTGGGGGCCTCTTGGGCCGTCTTGGGGCCCTCGTGGGCCGACTTGGGCGCCTCTTGGGGGTCTCTTGGGCCATCTTGGGGCGGTCTTGGGGGGCTCTTGGACCGTCTTCAACGTTGTGAAGGCGGACAAGTCGTATATGACAAAAATGTACGTTTGCCCATAGGAATTTGACGATTTTGGCCTCTTGGGCCCCTCTTAGGACTGCTCTTGGAGGGCTGTTGTGCCCTCTTGGAGGCTTCTTGGGCCGTCTCGGGGCGATCTTGGGCTTCTTTGGCCGATCTTTGGGCGATTCGGGGCCCTCTTGGGCCGACTTGGGGGCTGCTTGGGGCCCTCTTGGCCCGTTTTGGGGCCCTGGTGGGCCCGATACAGTCATGCGACAAGCTGCGCCGGCACGCGACAAGCCCCAGGAGATTTTGGAATTTGGGCCCTGGTCCTTTAAAGACTCCTCAGGAGGAGGACGGAGGCTCAAGGGATGAGGCACACGACCTGAGGACACGCCCACTCCGTGCCCGAGGCGCGATGGCGGATTCCTTTTCCCTCAGCGTTCGTGGCTGAAAACCATCAGCAACAACACGGGCCTCCCCGACACGAACGCCACTAGCGCCAGCCAGAGGAACCAGAATTCTTCCCGTTGCCGCCGCCAGCGGCAATCGTGACACTACCGCCAGTGCCATCAGCGGCACCAGCAGCATCGCCGCCAGCGCCACCACCACCACCGCGAACAGCACCATCTGCGACAGCAGCGGCATCACAAGGACCAGCGCCAGCAGTAGGGCCACCATTAGCACCAGCAGCACCGCCGCGATCACCAGCACCAACAACACCGTTGGCAGCAGCGACGCCGCCAGCAGCAGCGCGCGCACCACCACCACGACGCAATGGCGGGCCCACAAGAGAAGGACGACGTGAAGCCTTAGCAACATACTCGCCAGAACCACCATCAGAATTCGCATGCGCTCTCAGCGCCGTAGCGGACTTTTTGATGCCATCCGCGTGTGAATACGATCCCTCGGGTTGGTCTGCGCTGTCTGGCGGACACCCGCTTCCTTTCCACTTCTGTTTCGCGCCACAGCAATAATGCGAGAGTGAAGGGAGAAAAGGGGAGGTGGCGGCGGAGGGGGCAAGGGGCTGCGCGGTGGGCGGAGGCAGGGGGAGGGCCAGCACGGGAGCGTGCACGGGGCAGACCAGGCGAAGTGGCCAATTTGGCGCCATGGAAAGGGCGCGGCGGTCGACGGGCACACGTAGGACGATAAGGAGAGAGGGTGGCAGAACAGCAAGTCCAAGGCTGCCCCTCGCAGACAATTTGGCTTCACTCGTGCGGCCTGATCCCGCATCGAGGTGTCTCCATGTCGACGCGGTAGCGGGCCGTGGGCCGAGGCGACCGAACTGCTCCGAACGCTGGGCGGAAAGGCGTTCCAAACATCTTGGAACGCCTCCCCGAAAGCCGTTCCATGCACCCTTTCGACGGCCCACCTTCTGGATGGCCCTGTTCGCCCCGCCTAATAGTGACCCCCCCCCGGTTTTCCGGAGGGGGGGTCATTTGAATTCGAGTGACCCCCCCAGGTTTTCTGGGCGGGCGGGGGGGGTTCGAACCGGTAGTAGGGGGAAGGGGGGGAGGTTAGGGGAGGGCGGGGGGGTTGCCGGGGGGGAGAGGGGGGGGGGAGGGTTCCAGGGGGGGGTATTTCCGGAGGGCGGGGGAGACCTCCGGGTTCCGGAGGAAGAGGGAGGGGAATTTTCCAAAGTAAAGCGGCGGATCACGCTCTCTCATGAGAGCGCGGACGTAGCGTAGCTTGCGCGTGATCGTAGCCCAGGGAGAGCGGACGCAGCGTAACTTCGGAGAGAGATCGTGGCCTCGGGGAGCGCGGTCCCGTCGTAATGGCTTCGTTCATGGGTCCGCCGTGCGTTGCCCCTTTCTGATTCCACGGTGTCTGGGGGGGAAGAGCGGGGGGGGCAAGTCGCGTTTTGTGGAGCAGAAAGAAAAAGGGCTTGCCTGGGAGCGCGGTCCCGTGGCACGTTCCCTGACACGTTCCCTGGCACGTCCCCTGGCGCGTCGCCTAGCACGATCCACCGCACGTTCCGTGACGCGTCCCGTGGCGAGTCCCCACGGCACGTCGCGCGGCGCGTCCCCTGGCACGTCTCGTGGCACGTCCACTGCCACGTTTCGTGGCGCGTCCCCTTGGCACGTCTTGCGGTGCGTCCCCATGGTGCGTCCCCACGGTGCATCTCCTGGCACGTCCGCTGGCGCGTCCCCTGGCACGCCTTCCTGGCACTGCCCAATCGCATATGCAATTGAGGTCCTCAGAAACGGTTCCATGCCTCACCGTTCTCAGTCCCTTTCCGGATTCGTGGGTCGATCATGTTCTTGTGACAGGGATGGTAGTTTTGCGCGAAGCAGGCAATATGAGGGCATCCCCGCAGCCCTGGTCAAAACAAACAAGAAGTGTTCGCGGGGCCTACGAGTATGGCCCAAGATGTTGCCCCCAAGAGTGCTTCGTATTGCTTTTTTGACATGGAGGGGGGGCATTGGCTCTGTTTGGCTGCTGGCCGCCTGAACAAGAGGGTGCGCTTATTGAAAGAAAACCGTGATAAACCCTTCCCCGAAGGGAAACATGGAGTTGAAAGTCTCGAAACCACTCGCACCCTCAAGGGCTGGTGGCAGTTTCTCCCCAGCCCCGGAGATTATGGACCTCGTTGTGATGCCTCCAAAGAAAGCGATTAGAGGTTCGTTATTCCAGATTGATAATAGTACGCGCGGGGGGGGTCGTTCCTTCCAATCAACCCCGGCTCGCATAGTGAACCTGAGTTTTCATTCTAGAATGATAATCATGGAGCCAGGGGGTCACCGAGAGCGCTGCCATGCTAGAATGAAGTGAGGTGCATCATGTCGACTGCACTTAAGAGCCACCCTGCCCGAAAGTGACCCTGGTTCAAGCCCACTGGGGCCCCCCATTCGCCGAACGCGATGCGATAGTAGCGTCTTGCGCGCTTCGGCTTGGCCCCCTTCCAACGGTTCCCCGAAAGCCGCGCACCAAAGGTCACACTTGCCCAGGGTCACTTCTTGCGTGTGGCCGATCATTGCAAGATTCCAACCTAGGTTTATGTCGGGCGCGTCCCCCTACAAGGAGATCTTCGACGAAAAACTAAAAGTATTCTAAAAATACTCCAAAAAGGTGAATAGATATTAAAAAATAGTCCCCAGACTATTCTTGTACTATTTTTAATTTTTGTGGGGTATTTTTAATTTTTCGTCGACGATCCCCCTGTAGGGGGACAGGCCCGACTTAAACCTAGGTTTGTCGTGCCTAGATCGTAGATCCACGGTCGCCGAGGATTTCGGGGCTGTCCTCCGTCCGACAGACCACCGGTCTGGGGGCGTCCCGTGGGGCATCCCGTGTGGGCCCCCCCGAAATGCCCCAAGAGAGGTCCAAGCGATTCCAAGAGGGCCCAAGAGACTCCAAGGTGATCCCCAGGCGGGTCCAGAAGGTCCAATTAGGGCGCGACAAGGTGCCCCCGGCCCAGGAGGGCCCCAGCGGCCAGACGCGCATGCTGGCTCGCTGAGAGCACAGACCCTTGACGTCATATTTTTCGCAACGTGGACATCTGGAGGTCTCGATCCGTTCCCTGGGACGGGCTTCTCAGCCTGAGTCGTCTGTTGACGGTCTTGGGGCTCGGCGAGCCCTCCAGAGGCTGAAATCGGTCAAACACCGTCCGTCGTGATTTGTTCATGTTGCGAGGGGGACTGAAGAAGGCTCACGCGCGCAGCCCAGTGACCTCGAGAGAGGACCTTCGGATAGTGGAGAAGCTCTCCCCGACCAGCGACACGTGGTTCGAGGACTCGAGCCACCGCCTGCACACCATGAGCGAGAGCCAGGCGCGCGAGGTCAGCACGAAGCTGCGCGAGGATCGGGGGCATCCTTAGGGGGGGGCCTGCTGCTTTTCTTCATCTTTCTCTTTGTCACTAGCCTTTTGCTGCATCGTCTGCGTATATGCCGTAATCGGTTCAGAATGCAGGAGGATGCAGAAGGGGATATGCTCAGGAGGGGAGCATCGGCCCCAAATCGCCCATGGATCGCCGAAAGGGGCCCGATGGCCCACCCCCGCCCAGCAACGCGCGGGTCCGCTGCCGGGGGCCTATCGCCGATCTCTCGCCGATCTCTCTGCGATGCATCGCCGATTCCAGGCCGATGGTCCCCTTCCCAGGGTCAATGTCGGTTCTGGCTGGCCCGAGCTGGTTCGATTTCGTTGTTCCAGCGGTCCAATGCGGTCCCATGCCATGCTTACAAGACGCAGTTGCGTATCTTTGCGCAGCCGATCCACTTCGAGTCGACGTCGTGCCGATGCAGTCTGATCCGACACAGGGTCCGACCCGATCCAGCTGTCCGATTCGATACCGACTGGTCATGCCCCTGAGCCTGTACCCCCGTTCGGTATCGGTTAACCGATGTTCCTTCCCCCTCCAGACGTTGCCCCTCCTCCTCCTCCTCCTCCTCCTCCTCCTCCTCCTCCTCCTCCTCCTCCTCCTCCTCCTCCTCCTCGTCCCCCCCCTCCTCCTCGGAGGAAGTGGAGAGTCTGAAGGCGGACCTGGAGCGCGTGAAGAGCGAGGCGGAGAAGCTCAGGCCGCCGTGGGGCGAGCGGGGTCCCCAGACCCCCCCTCGGAGGTCATGACAACGATACGACCCTACACTTCCAAGGCTCCCAGGATGCCAGAATGTCCTGAATGTCGCCATTGCTCCGCACCGGCTGCAAAGACGAGGGCCTCCAGATGATCTGGGAGTCCTGGCGCAGATCCTGCGCCAGTATGACATCACGGCCCGGCGCAGTCCACGAGACGGGCGTCGGCCGGCGTGGGCCCTCTGCAAAAGCGCGCGGGGCGCCCGCCGGGCGCCCACGGGCGGGCCCCGTTTTGCAGCTCTGCCGCGGCCTGCGCTTTTTCTCGCGTGCTCGAGAATCGGGCCCCAGGGGCCGTCTCCGACCGAGGCGGCCTGAAGAATCCCTTGAGAATGATGGGCGAATCTGCCACCACCACTGCCAGATTTAGGACGGGGGAGAGGGGAGGACGAGGAGGTCCTCCTCCCCCTCCTCCTCCGCCTCCTCCTCCTCCTCCTCCTCCGCCTCCTCATCCTCCTCCTCCTCCTCCTCCCTCTCCTGCCTATGGCAGTGGTGGTGGAAAGTGGGCCCATCAGAGAAAGATGGGGTCTAGGGCCCCAGTCGCTATTTGTCGCGAGTTTGCCATGTTTGCGCAACGTCGGAGTTCGGCGACCAAGCGGAACCTCGGGGAACCAACCAAGCGCAGGGCGCCCACGAAGCGTCCACGAGCGCCCACCAAGTGGACGCCAGCCAAAACCCCTGGAAACCTAAACAGTTCCGTAGGTTGAAATGTAAGAACCTGTGGGTCAAGTTCTCTTTGGGCTTGGCATCGCTCGGACGTGAGGGTTTGTTGCTGGCGAGGACCATCGAGGAGCATCATGGACCATCAGGCAAAACAAGCACGCACGAAGCCGAAACATGCACGGGGAATTAACGTCCGAGCGATGGCAAGTGGGAGCCAAAACATGTTCGCCAGCGTGGACCCCAAACACCAAGGTGTGCCATTGCGGATGTGTAAGCCGTCCTTTGTGAAGGTGTGGTAGATCATTCAGAACTTAGAGTTGTCAACCCTACTGCTCGCGCAATCATCCCACCCACCTCTCGCAACTTGATTGCGGCGACGAGTGCGATGACTGCTTCGCGGTGGCTGGCCCGTCTCTGCGGCCGCGTTGGCGCGCGCATGTTCGCGGGCACAGCGGCCAGCTAGTTTGGCACACAACCGACCGCGGTGGCGCTCTCCGATGGGGACTCCCTAGCGCGAGCACTTCACTGCGAGTCGGTGAGCCGGGCGGGCGCAGTATCTCGATGACGACGTCAATGGCGGAAACGATGATGACGGCAGCGATGATGGTGGCGATGATGACGGTGCCGACGGCAAAGCCAATGACGGCGCCGATGCCGGTCACGCCGATGACGATGATGGTTCCACATGTCGGTGAAAAAGGTTTTGGAAGGATTTGACATGCGCGCGCGGCCGACGCGCTCGAGTGGCCCGCAAGGATCGTGCCACCCCAGCAAGCTCGCAAGGGCGTTCGGATATGACTTCGACATGCGCGCGCGAGAGGCACGCTTGGTCGCCTGTGATGAACATGTTGGGAAAACAATGCTGGCTTTCTTGAGACTTCGCAGGAATGCGCGCAGATCTGTTGAAAAGTCGTGTCGGAAACAATGGCAATTACTTGTTTCGAGAACGTCGATCTGGAAACCACCACGAAAGTAATGAACTGCAGATCGAACACATCTGGTAAAGTACACATGTGCGTTTCCTGTGGGTGTCTCGAGCGAAAAGCTTGTTTTGCAAACTTTGCTGAAGATCTCTCGAGCGAAACCGCTGTCTTCTCTGAACTATTGTTCCTCTCCTGGGGACCAGGATTCAAAGGATGTCTGAGGCAGCATGCTTGTTTTCACTTGCCCAGGTCGCCCAGGAAGGTATCTAACATGGTTGCCCCCTGACGGGACACTTACTTTCACGTGTCCAGGCCACCAAGAGGTGTATTCAATTTGGTGGGCCCGAGCTGGAACCACGTGTTTCTACGTGTCCAGGCCACCCAGTGGGGTATCTAACGTGGTGGCATCGAGCTGGAACCACGTGCTTATGCGTGCCCAGGCCACCCAGAGGGGTACCTAAGATGGTTGCCCCGAGCTGGAAACACGTGTTTTACGTGTGCGTGCAACCCACGGGGGGGGGATATCTAACATGTGGTCGCTTGGGGCCCCCCAACGTGGGGGGGGACAGGAGCCAGGCAACAGCAATCCATCAACACCACGTGCGTAAAAACTCAGCACAGTTGCATCGGCTGGTGATTTTCTAGATTTCCTACACTGGGATATCTAACATGGTGGTCCCGAGCTGGAACCACGTGATTGCAAGTGACCAGGCCACCCAGGAAGATATCTGGCATGGTGGTCCCGAGCTGGAGCCACGTGCTTTACGCGTCCAGGCCATTCAGGGTGGTATCTAACATGGTTGCCCCGAGCTAGAACCATGGCTTCTCACGTGTCCAGGCCACCCAGGGGGTACCTAACATGGTCGTCTTGAGCTGGAACCAAACGTTTTCACGCGTCCAGACCACCCAGGGGGATATCTAACATTGTGGCCCTGGGCTGGGACAGGGACCACGTGTTTTGCGTCTACAGGCCACCCAGACGGGTATCTAACATGCTGGTCCCTAGCTGGAGCCACGTTGTTTTACGTGTCCAGCACCCCAGGGGTGGGTGTCTAAGATGGTTGCGTCTTGCCCCGGGCTGGAACCATATGTTTACTAGTGTCCAGGCGACAAAGAAAGGTATCCTATATGGTGGCCCGAGGCTGGAACCACGTGATTTCACATGCCAGGGCCACCCAGATGGGTATTTAACATGATGGCACCGAGCTGGAATCACATGTTTGCTTGTGCCCAGGCCGCCCAGAGGGGTATCTAACATGGTTGTCCCGAGCTGGAACCAAGCCTTCACGCACCCAGGTTACACAGGGATATGTCCAACATGTGGCCGCCTGGCGTTAGCTCTGCGCAACTTGTGAGGGTGTCTCGAGCGAGGGCTGCGGAACTGTCCCGCGCTGGAACCGCGTGAAATTCACGTGTCCAGGCCACCCAAGGGGATACCGAACATGGCGGCCCCGATCTGTACCCACGTGTTTTACGTGTCCAGGCAATCCAGGAGGGTATCTCACATGGTGGTCCCGAGCTGGAACCACGTGTTGTGCGTGACCAGGCCGCCAAGGAGGGGATATCCAAGATTTTCTTGTCCCTCGCTAAAACCATGTGTTTTCAAGTGCCCAGGCCACTCAGGTAGATATCTGGCATGGTGGTCTGTGGCTGGAAACATGTGTTTTCACGTGCCCAAGCCACCCAGAGGGGTATCTATGTGGTGGCACCCGGCTTGAAAAACGTGCATGCACGTGCCCAAGCCACCCAGAAGGGGTATCTAACATGGTTGCCCCGAGCTGGAAACACGTGTTTTTGCGTGCGCGGGCCACCCAATGGGGGTATCTAACATGTGGTCGCCGGGGCGCCCCCAACCAACGTGGCGGGACCCAGACAAAACGAAAAACTTGACAGCAGATGTGTAATAACCTGACACAGCTTTCTCGGCTGTGAACTTCCTGATTTAACAGTCACAGTGGGGTAACTAACATGGTGGTCTCGAGCTGAAACCAATGTTCTCACGTATCCAGGCCAGCCAGGTGGATATCTGACATGGTGGTCCCGAGCTGGAGCTCAGTGTTTTTACGTGTCCAGGCCACGCAGGGCGGTATCTAACATGGTTGCCCCGCGCTGGAACCAAGTGGTTTCACGTGTCCAGGCTGCCCAGGCTGCACAGGGAGATATCCAACATGTCTTCGTCTGGCTCTAGGTCTGAGCAACTTGTGAGGGCGTCTCGAGCGAGGTCTGCGGAACTGAATCGGATCTTGAGCTCGAGCTGGTCGAGCGCACCGCGCGTTTCGACTGCAACCAGCCCGAGCAATGCGTTCAGACAGTTCGAGCTTAAGATCCAAATCAGTTCGGTCAGGATTGTGACGCCACGGACGGCTTGACCCACAATGCATTAGCGCATGGCACAATTTCACGCGGCATGTCCCCTGGCGCGTCCCCTGGCATTTCCACTGGCACGTTCCGTGGCGCGTCCTTGGCACGTCACGGAGCGGCGCGGCACAGCGCAGAGCAGCACAACACAACCATTGGCACAATACCATCACCAACGATACGCTCAGCATTGCCATTGTCCATCGCCCGATTGAGGTGCTCGGAAACGTTCCCATGCATCGGTGTTCTAAATCCCTTTCTGGTGTCATGGGTCGGCGTTGCTCAAAAAGCAAAAACGATGTGGTATGAGATGTGGAGTGCAGGCTACGTGGCGCAATATGTGGAATGGAGTATGTGTGTGGTGTGAGCTAGGCGGTGCAAGCAACGTGGTGCAATACCTGTGGTAAGCTACGTGGTGCAACCTATGTTGTGTAAACTGCGCGGTGCAATTTAGGTGGTGCAAGTAATTTTGTCCAACACTTGGGTTGTTTGAGGGAGTTTCTGTGGAACTCACGTCATCCTCACCCCCGGCGCGAAGAGCACGAGTCCAGAGCGGCCTCCGGCACCGTTTCCGGACGGATCCGGACGGATCCGCTGGATCCGGGGACGAATCCCAAACCGGCGCCCTCGCCTGAGACATCCCCGCAAAACCGGCCCCGGGGGAGGTGCCCAGAGGAGCCCAGAGCGGCCTCTGGCACCGTTTCCGGACGGATCCGGACGGATCCGCTGGATCCGGGGACGAATCCCAAACCGGCGCCCTCGCCTGAGACATCCCCGCAAAACCGGCCCCGGGGGAGGTGCCCAGAGAAGCCCAGAGCGGCCTCCGGCACCGTTTCCGGACGGATCCGGACGGATCCGCTGGATCCGGGGACGAATCCCAAACCGGCGCCCTCGCCTCAGACATCCCCGGAAAACCGGCCCCGGGGGAGGTGCCCAGAGGAGCCCAGAGCGGCCTCCGGCACCGTTTCCGGACGGATCCGGACTGGATCCGCTGGATCCGGGACGAATCCCAAACCGGCGCCCTCGCCTGAGACATCCCCGCAAAACCGGCCCCGGGGGAGGTGCCCAGAGGAGCCCAGAGCGGCCTCCGGCACCGTTTCCGGACGGATCCGGACGGATCCGCTGGATCCGGGGACGAATCCCAAACCGGCGCCCTCGCCTGAGACATCCCCGCAAATCCGGCCCCGGGGGAGGTGGCCAGAGAAGCCCAGAGCGGCTTCCGGCACCGTTTCCGGACGGATCCGGACTGGATCCGCTGGATCCGGGGCGAATCCCAAACCGGCGCCCTCGCCTGAGACATCCCCGCAAAACCGGCCCCGGGGGAGGTGCCCACAGGAGCCCAGAGCGGCCTCCGGCACCGTTTCCGGACGGATCCGCTGGATCCGCTGGATCCGGTGACGAATCCCAAACCGGCGCCCTCGCTTGAGAC